TCTATCTATCGTTTCTAAGTACTCATATAACTTCGATCCGTTTCTAAATACTTCTTCGTTTCAAATTTTAAAATATCCTTCTCAATAGTAGATTCACATATACCAAAGTTTAATTACTCGATTGTAGAGTGTGAAAACGATTGAAAGAGAAAAATTGTAACTACGAGAGAGTTTGAAATAATATGGATCAAACGATTGATATGAGGTAATACATAAAGGATAGGGGAATTGAAGTGTAATTAATTTTGTGTATGCTACTAAATATATATTGTAAAGAAAAGACGTATATATTTATAATGAACAGCTTGAAACAAAAAGTATAAATGATGAAAAATCAGAAAAATAGTAGAGTATAAAATAAGAGAATAAGAGATTATCCATCAAACCAACTGATCAATAATGCAACATCGTCTATTAAAATTTATAATTTAGATGAAATTCATATAATTATATTTTAGTGTATTATGTAAAGCAATATGGAGAGCTTCAAAGTTTAATTTACTAGATTAAAAAGCAACCTTTGCTTGAAATAATATAACGCGTATAAGCTATACCTTAACGTGGCATGAACGAATGAGTTAATACATTGTTTTGTATTTGTTGCACTGTTGCACTGTTGCCGACATGTAACTTAATAAACATGTTAAATTACACATTTTGCATTGCCATGTACGTATTATCCTAAAGTCATACGTAAAACACACACACACACAAAAAAGTATTATTTAGCCTAAATTTATCGGATGATTCTACTGTATCAATTTTTAAAAAAGAACACCATAATATGCTGATGTGTCATGCTGTAATTGATCAAATTTTTATTTATTTTAAAAAATCAAATTATACTATACATGTATGTATTATTGCAAATACATGCATTATTTTATAAAGAATACAAAATGATAATATTTTTTTAATTATTTTCGAATCTGCTTGATTGCTTCTATGAACGGATCTTCGTGGTCTTCAATTGGAGCACAATTCGAAGTTATTGTTTCGATTGGAGGCCGAAATTATTGTAATTGGATAGCGAATTGCTGTAATTGATGGTGGATTGGAGGTTCTAGTTGTCACGTTTTGGTGTTGTGGATGAAGCGTGGATTGAAGACGATGGTTATTGCTGTGATTGAAGGTCGAGATTGTTGTCATTGGGTAGCCAATTGCTGTAATTGATGGTGGAATAGAGGTTAAAGGTGGACTGAAGGTGGCGGTGGTTGCTGGTTGGTGATGGAAAATGCTGCTACTGTGGGTTTGCGAGCAGGGCGGTGGTGATAGATTGCAGGGTTGAACTGGACGTTGGTGGTGATAGATTGCAGGGCGGTGGGTTAATGATTGATTGCAGGGCAGTGGCCTGATGTTTGATTGCGGGGCAGTGGGATACGACAAGTTGGTGGTTGTTGTAGACTTGTAGCGGTGCGGTGGAGGGCTACTGTTGGCTGATGTGATTTTCGACGGTTGGAGGTGGTTGTTCTACTGATAGATGATGCAACGGTGAGCTGCTGGCTAGGTTGCGCTGTTGTCGCGTTGCGGGCGGCTGGTATTCTGGTTTGGGAGTTGATGTTGGTGGCTTGGTGCAGTGAAAAGGCATGGGCATAAAGGGGTTTTCATAATTAAGATTATGTACTACATGTTTTTGGGAGTATTAAAAAGAAAACGTAATATAAATACAATTTTAATACATTACTGTTACTAAAAATAATTCAAAATTAAAATCAAAATACTAAATATAGGCCAATCAGTTTTCGCCACATCAACATAATGCGGTGCCTTTTTTGAAGAATAACATTGTAGAACTTTTATAATTTATCACAAGCATGATGTCATAAATATGGGCCAATTAGTTTTTGCCACGTCAACATATTGTGGTGTCTTTTTTTGAAGAATGACATTGTAGAATTTTTATAAATTTATCACAAACATGATGTCAAAAATTAAATATTTATTATTATTATTTTTTTAAACAATTTCTTTTTATCACAAATAAACTTATTTGTAGGTGATAAAGTATATAAACTGATCTTCAACTTAAACTATCAACTTAAACTTTTGGTTGGATCAGTCTTTTAATATAGTATTAGAGCCAACGTGACACAAATCCACAAAGGTCAGGTCTGGGTTTGAATTTCATCCACCCCTCTTTTTACAGTGGAATATTAAGCGCAGAGTGTGAGGAGTGTTTGTGCTGCATCCACACTTCAAGCCCTCGTGTGAGAGGACATGATAGAATATATAAACCGAGCCTGGACTTTAACATTTAGCTTAAACTTTTGATTACATTGGTACGTAATATTGTAAAAAGTTGGTATGTCAAGAACATTGAAATAATATATATTAGCAAGAACTCACATAAATATATTTAATCTAAGTAAAAAATCGCTAAAGATAGTCTTAAATTAAATAATAAAACCTGTGGATTGTACATAACATCAATATAATCATGTGGATGATGCTTATATGGATTAAAATCTTTCTAGCTAATTGATGATATGTTCTGAATTATGCGTGCTTTCAAACAATTATGCGGAAGTGAGTTGGATGAGAGTCTAAAATCTTCCATACCTATGCTAGGTTAGTTGCACGGGAGTGCGTGAATTAGCTTAGTAGGATAATTGACATGCTTAATTGCACGGGAGTGAGTTAAATGTGTCGATTGTTCTTCATTGAGGTCATTTTCATCTAATTGCAATGTTGTTGAATGCATTGATATAATGGGATTCTACTTTCCCTATTTTTCGTTATTTACTCTAAGTAGTGTTTTAGTTGTACTTCTCTCTATATCACGACCATCCTACTAATTTAATTAGCATAAATTGATATAACTAGTATTCGTGGTTCGACCCTATACTTGCCACTAACTAGTTTGGTGTAAGTTTAGGTACTATAAATTTCTAATTTGATTAGGGTTGTAGATCAACGACCTACTTTTCCGCGATCACTTGGTTTTTGTCAAGAGTTGTGCGTTGAACTTTTAGGAAATTTTCACGAGACCTCACTCGTCCTCTAGGTCAATCTAAGGGTTTAAAGGGCTTGTCTTTAGTTGCTAAAATTGACCGTGATTCGTACGAAAGTGAGTTAGTGTAGATTCTCATCCTCTTTAGTGTGTTAGTCTTGCTTAAATAAATCTTTTTCCTTTTCTCTTTTGTTTTTGTCTTGCTCGAGGATGAGCAAGAGTTAAGCTAGGGGGAATTTGATTAGTGTCACTTATGACACATTTTAGGCCGTTTATCTCCCTTAATTTTAGGTTTATTTCGGTGTTTCTTTAATATTTCTAGTATGTTTAGTCACTCTTATTTCGGCGTGACATTATTATTATAATGATCATCAACCCAAAAATCATAACCCTTGACAATATTCTCATGATTTAATGAGAATAACAGCCATGGTTCAGTCATTAAACTCGTGTTAGACACAAACATAACTTTAGGAAGATAGCAGATTATGTATGTGAGGACACTATTAATAACTAATTATATCATACTTTGTATATCATTGAGTGGAGTAAGTTTATGTGAAGACACTATTATGTTTCTAAACTTCTCATACTACATCACTACCTTAAAAGACATACTACCCTTCAAGAAATTCATAAGAGCTTGTCTAGGTTACTCATTATGAGTAACAACAAATGTAACTCAAATGGCAATAAGCGTAAATAAGTGCATTGCTTTGCAATTTAATATTATTTTTAAATTTGGGAAAGTGAGTTGGCAAGTGGAAATGCACAGTACATTTGTTAACTTCGTTATGTTGAAGTTTTGAAGGGTAAGAAGTTTAAGTGTAAAAAATGCCATAGATCCTGAATTGGAGAGACTCATAGGTCGACGACCGACGGCGGTAGTTATGGTGTTTGAATTAGCTTTGCTTAGCTTAGCTTAGTGATTGGTGAATCTACTCTCGTCGTCTTGTTTAAGTTGCGTAATTTCGGATCTCTTGTACCTATTTTAACAATAAATAAATCAAAATTTTCGGACATATTTGGTTGTAATTATCTAATTGAAGTTTAAAATTGCTGATTTTGGTGTTATTTGGTGAATAATCGCTGAATTGATGGTGATTTTGGTTGGTGTTTGGTTAGAGTTTACTATAATTAGCTGAATTGGTTTCGTTTGTTTTGGTTGAGTTTTATTTCTGGTGATTCATCGATTTAATGAGCTTAGCTTGCATTCAATTTTTGTTTTATCAAGCACTCCATTGCAATGCAATTGCATAATGATTTGGTGTTTCAATTACTTGAGTTTGCATTGTATTTTCTTTTGGTTTGATTTTGTACTCCATTTTAGTGTGCTTGAGTTTAAGCACTTGAAGAATGTTTGATTGTGCACTTATTACCTAAATTTTGTTTGGATGTTATAGCTGAATTTTCTGTTGTTTTATTTTTAGTCTGCAATTGCTGTGTGGAAATAATTTTGTTTCTTAGTTATGGTTTATTTGTGAATGTAGGAAAATATGGATGCAATTGATGGTGATTTGAGTGATTCTATGGCATTTATGCAAAATGACTCTTGTAGCAGTCCTAATACATCCCCATTAGTTCCGATTCTTGAAAATAAATGCATTACTCCCCAGAGTGGAACTTCAATGGTTCCAGATTTTGTAGAAACTTGCACTACTGTTATGTCACCCCCCAATGGTACTGTTCAAACAGTTGACACCATACATTCTAGTAATAGGGGTGTCCTTGTGTTAGAGCCTCCGAAGTTAGGTATGATTTTTAAAAGCTGGGAAGATGTTGAAAGGTATTATAAAGAGTATGCTGAACAAGTTGGTTTTGGGGTGACTAGGTGTCAGTGATCTTTGTCTAAGAAAGACAAGAATGTAAAGCTTTGTTGTACTTGGAGGTGTGAGTGTTGGGGTGCACCCAACCTAGGGCCAGAAGGGAAGCAAAAAAACGGGCAAAGGCCATGGGTAAGGATGGTACTGGAGGTGTTGTGAATGGTGTAATTGGTGAGGATGAGCTTGCTCGTGGGAAAAGGAAGTCCAAGAAATGATTTTGCCTTGCAATGTTATATGCTCGTGTTACTGCAGAAGGTTCTTGGGAGGTCCGAAAGGTTGAGTTGAATCATGTGCATGAGGTGAACCCTGATTTGTCTAAATTAGTCAAAGAATACCGTATGAAGAATTACACCGCTACATTGAGGAGGAGGTGCCTTAACTATTATGAAGTAGGGGTTCCTGTTAAAAAGATCCATGGTTGCTTAGCTGTGGATAAAGGCGGTGTTGAAAACATGCCAAATGTTAAGGACCTCCAACATGAGGTGTACAAGGAGAGGAGGCTTAAAATGCAAGGTGGAGATGCTGCAGCCATGATGAGGTACTTTCAATACATGCAACGGGACAACCAAAATTTTTATCATGCTATTCGGTTAGATGAAGAGGGTCGATTGAAAGACGTTATGTGGGTTGATGCTCGTAGCCGTGTTGCTTATGAGGAATTGGGTGATGCGGTTTGCTTTGATGCAACGTACTTGACGAACGAGTATGAGTTGCCGTTTGCTAATTTTGTGGGGGTCAACCATCACAGTCAATCCATCCTGCTTGGATGTTCTCTTGTTTCTCATGAAACCACAGAGACTTATACATGGGTGTTTGAGCAGTGGTTGTTGGCCATGAACAATAAACCACCCCGAGAAATACTCACTGATCAAGCACCTGCAATGCGTAGAGCATTGGCTAAAGTTATGCCTGGTTCTAGGCACAGATGGTGCATTTGGCATATTTTGAAGAAACTGCCAGAGAAAGCTGAAGTTATAAGTTGTTCACTTATCCTTGTTTGTGTATGTTTTAAGGTTTACTAGTTTCGTTTAAAATTGATTATCCCTATATGGTTGCTGGTTACGTATATTCTTTGCTATAGTTGGTTGCTAATACATAAATAAGAACATGCATCTGACCTTTGTCTTTTCTAAGTACACATAAATGAACTACAAAGAAATCATGATGAGAAAGCATGCCATTATAAAGATTTTAAAACAATTTATGTTATTCAATATTAATATTAATTTTTTTTATGAAGCATATTGAACTGTTATAGAATTTAGACCCTTAATGGTGGATATTTTATAGCTTACCATACACTGGTGCTCTTTTGTTTCAGACCTTGGTAGACCATATTATTTTTCTACAATATAGATTAGATGGTTAATTGCTGGTAATCTAATTGATTTTTTTTGCTTTTCGCGGCGTAAACTGTTTAACACCATCAACCATCAATAATTATATCACTGTCATTTGTTTAATTGACAGAGATATAATTATTGAGGATGTTAGGGAAATGATACAAGATTTGCCTTATAAATTTAGGTTAATAATCAAAGAGTGTCATGTGTATTTTAGCAAATCTATGTCGCATCATTGCTTTTACAGCTCTCTATAACTCAACCTAGCAACACCTACTGATCTAACATGTACCAATTATCAATTCCATTTATGTCAAGGTTTTTTCATTAATTTTGTAATGTTTGAGCAGTTACCATGATTTCAAAAATCCCTTGAAGGCCGTCATATACGAGAGCTTTACGACGGAAGAGTTTGAAAGTAGTTGGTGTTCTTTAATGAAAGAGTATGACCTTGAGGGAAATGATTGGTTGGAGGGTTTGTATGATGAGAGGCACATGTGGGTGCCAACCTTCATGAAAGATTATTTTTGGGCAGGTATGAAGACCACCCAACGGGTGGAAAGCATCAATAGTTTTTTCGATGGATTTGTTACAAGGAAAACCAAATTATTTGAGTTTCCGCAACAGTATTGCAAAGCTATGGAGAAGCGTGTCGAAGATGAAACAACTGCAGATGAAAAGGGGATGAAGTATGTGAGGAGGCTAGTTAGTGGTTTTTGGCTTGAAGAGTTATTCCAAAAACTGTATACCGATGCAAAATTTCAAGAAGTGCAACAGGAGTGCGCACACATGTTGTACGTTGTTCATCACTTTCATCGACAAATAGATGAAACTAATTGGGAGTATGTGATGGAGGATAGGGTCTGGATTGTTCCCGAGGGTTGTAGCGAGGAAAAACTAACGGAGATGAGAAGGTTGTACTCTGTGACATTTAATTCTGCCACCAAAGAAGTAAAATGTGACTGTTTCAAGTTTGAAACATTTGGCATCCTTTGCAAACACTGCATTCGTGTACTTGATCAAAATTACGTCAATGATTTTCCTAAGAAGTACATCATTGATCGGTGGAGGAAAGACTTGCCAAGGAATCATGTCCGGGTCATAGTGCCATATCATGACCCCACCAAAAGTATTGAAGTGAAGAGGTTCAACTTGATGTTGTCTGAGTATGAGGCCTTGTTTGACGATGCAGCTACGGCCGATGATGCAACACTTGAAATTGTTATGAACAATTTAGCTAAGTTAAAAAGTGATGTTAAGGAAAGCAGGGAGAAGTTTAGGAACAAACAATTAATTGACTGTTTGGAATTACCTCCACCTTCTAAAATTGGATCCAACAGTCAACGGAAACAACATGGTAGTACTCCTACATCAGATTTCGTGATAGGGCATCAGGCTGCTGGATCAGATTTCCCTTCGTTGATGGGGGTATGTTTTCAGTTCAACAACACCAATATTGTGAAGGATCCAAAGTCTTTGAAGAGGCCAAGGGGTCGTCCTAAGGGAAGTAGGAACAAGTCGTTGGCAGAGGCAGGTTTCAAGTTGCCTAAATGTAAATCGGGTGCTACCAACAAAAATGTTTCACGTGGACATGAAGTTCCAAATGTGCTTCCCAAGAATCAAGTCAGTTGTTTTGTTAATATTTTTTTATTATGTTTATGTTAGTGTGTGTTATTGAGGTAATGATTTTGTTGTCTTTTATTTTTGAGTTATGAATTCAAGGAAACAAAAAATGCGGTAAGAGGTGTAACGGAGGCAAGGCTGCTAGAGCCAGTAATGGAAACAGAAAGCGCGCAACAAATGATGGTGATACTGTCGTGAAAAGGAAACGATATAAACGTGTGCTTGAAGTGTCATCTCCAACCCATTCATTTGAGTTCTGAAGTGGTGGCCATATGGGGTGTTTTATGCTGTAGTGTAATTGTAATAGGCTATTGTGTAATTGTAGGCTTACATATCCATTGTAATGGGCAAAAAAAATTTCCCAACATTTTGGACTACATTTTGAACCCATCTCTTTAAATATGGGCAGTATTTAAGTATGGATTGTATTTAAATTGTTATGTTATTTTAAATATAAACCTTTTAATATGGGCCCAAAAAGCTTATACACCCATTTTAGACCCATTTGTTTCAATATGGGTTGCATTTAAGTATGGACCATTTAAGTATGGATCCATTTGATATTTTTAAATATGGACCATTTTATAATATGGGCCCAAAAAGCTTATACACCTGTTTTAGACCCATTTGTTTCAATATGGGTTGCATTTAAGTATGGACCATTTAAGTATGGAGCCATTTGATATTTTTAAATATGGACTATTTTATAATATGGGCCCAAAAATCTTGGGTTGCATTTATGTATGGACCATTTTAGTATGGAACCATTTGATATTTTTAAATATGGACCATTTTATAATATGGGCCCAAAAAGCTTATACACCCATTTTAGACCCATTTGTTTCAATATGGGTTGCATTTAAGTATGGACCATTTTATAATATGGACCCATTTGATATTTTTAAATATGGACCATTTTATAATATGGGCCAAATAGCTTTTACACCCATTTGACTAGTTTACCCAAATGTCAAAATGCCCAACTTTTATCCAAAAATATTGTACAGTATATGATTATTTAATTAAATTTCTTCCGAGATCATAATCCATATATAAGTAATACTACCAAAATTAGTTTATGATGTGTACTCTAACAAATCATATTTAACTGCAACTCAACTCAACTACTTACCCGAAACTATTTTAAATGATTATTTCAAATTCTAATGAGATCAATTTAATTTCAATGATTATTTCAAACTCTAACCAGATCAATTATAGGATATGATGTGTACTTATTTCAAATTCCACCAACAATCAAAATAATTGAAACAAAATCAAAATTATACCAATCACAATAAGCAAAGCTACCAAGAATCAAAATTAAACCAATCACAAAAGGCAAAGTTACCAAAATAAAGAGTAACATCCCATCTACATGATAATATATTACAAAAGTTCATATCCAAATTTACCAAAAGTTGAGTACTAACACATATGGGTGTACTAACATCAGAATACAAATTATCTAATCAACTTCAAACCTACAAGGATACTACCCACCATTTAATACAGCAAAAGAAGGTGGATGTCAATGAAGTCCATGATACTCGAGGTTCACATTTGCCTTAACACTTCCAAAAGGGTGGACCTAGTCCACATCCAACTTAGTAAGCATTGTTGAAAGCCACCACCTTATCATTGTAACAAATCCTGGCATCGCTCACGGTCTGGCTTGGCTTTAAGTACTTTCTCTTATGCATAAGTGTGATGTTTGATGGGTCAGCTCCAATCCTGTTTGCCCACACGAAGAACACTCGATTCATGCAAGTGTGGATACGACCTTTGACCCTCTGTTCAATAGGATCCCTCGATATATCAACAATAATAAACTTTTTGATTCTTGTATCAAGGTTCACTACGCCCCACCTGGTCATATAAATTACATGTATCAATGTTGACTTAAGTTATTTTTTTTTTTAAAAATAAAAATACTAATTTTTTAGAAAAAAAAATTAATTTTGATTTATTAACAAATCAATAAATCAAAAGGAGAATATTGTGTTTTTAAATGGGTATAACAATTGGGCTTTCACAATCCGAATATAATAAAAGGGTATAAGTTTTGGGCTTTGACCATCCATATTATGATGTGATTGGCTCATCAACATAGGCCCACTGCTAAAAAAACCCTACTTCTCAAATGCTTTATCCTGAAATTTATATATATTTTTTTTCTTTGAAAAATTATCATGAAAAGTTATAATACTACCTCCTTTTACATATTATTTGCAACGATTAGACTTTTTTCCCTCTACTTTATGTCAAATCGTTGCAAATAATATGTAACGGAGGTAGTATAAAATTATTTGCTGAAAAATAAAACAAAGTCTCTATTCCATTCATGTTCTTAAATATAATTATGTCGGAAAATAAAAATTAAATTAAATGGAGCTTAGTGCAAGTTTGGGATAATTAACTTAAACAAAACATATTAACATAAAATAAAAAGAAAACATAATAAAATAATAACAAAAAAAAACAAGAAATACCAGTCCATGAAACAACACCACATCCCCAGTCTGAACACCCGTAGTTTCTTGTGTAGCATGGCGCGCAATAAGGTTACCAAGCTTGAACAAGTTCATTTGATGAGGTCCAACATCTATCTTTGATGAGTAGTCTATGTAGATTCCCTTGAAGGTTTCATTATCAGCAATCTCATACATGACTCCAAGATCACCTGGTTCTTCGCTCTTCACCAATATTGAATGTTTTGGAACTTCTTCTTCAATATTTGGATGCTGAAGAAGGTCCATATCAATATCAGGCGCGGGTTCCCTGATATTAGGTTTAGGTTCATCATTAGAGTCTGAAGTATCGACATCCCCATTGTAGACCCGCATATCAACTTCAACGGGGATACCCGTAGTATCAACATTCATTCGTCGAGATAGTGTTCGTGAAAATCTAGGAATCATGAAGGCTAGTGGGAGCCGCAAAGATTCCTCCCTGCTGATGAAGCGAATTCTTGGTTGTAAAGCAGGTAAGCCAGCAACAATCGGTATTCGACGAGGTCGTCTTTTGGACCTCCTCCTATTCGGAGGTGGTCGGAGAGGTAGAGGTACAGTAGATTGTTGCTGTGCTTGGGAGGTAAGCGCATGCAGTGGGGGGCCGTGCGGCTTGCTACCTGAAGACTCACCTGCGCAAGTTATCGAAGGCAAAGTGAGGCGGGAACGCTTCTTGGATGGTGCCATGTTTGTAAATTTTATAATTAGTTTTTTTTTAGTGAAAGGTCTAGACAAACAAGAAGAAGAAGAAGAAGAAAGGTGTTTATATATAGCAAAACAAATGAACTACATACCTTGGCTTCTTACCAAATTACCACTTGACACTTGTCATATTTTGGGCATATGTAGCAATTTCTCATTTATCAACCATAAAATGTAGAATACAAAGGATTAATCATAATTGGAGTAAAAATAAAGTATTAATCATATACTCTAAATTAATTTAATTCTAGATAACTTTAATAACTTTCATAAATGATCTATCAATGATAAGTATTTGTATTTTAAATATTTACAATCATGTTATTTACAATTATATGAACGATTTATCGATGAAATGGTGGCATAAATTGTAACGCGACGATAATTATTTTATCTTTGTATGACTTATCGACGAGTTCTCATTGCAATCGATGACCTACCTTAGGTCCTAAGATTACTGAACTTATGAAATGTGCGATTTACATCATCATATAAACTTCACACTGAATTCAATACTCAATTTATACTAATACTAAGTTGCGACACACTTTATCGAGTCATAAGGAGTCTTTACATGGTATTTTGATTTACTGCGTATAAAATTTGCATGAAAATTATATACTTAATAGTTATACCCTTACCTATAAATATAATAATCCGTTATCTCAAAAACCCCAAAATGTCGTAAAATTACTAAAATAACATTACTAAAATAACATTATCTGAACAAATTTAAAACCCAAAAATGTCGTAAAATGACTAATATAACATTATCTCAAAAAGTTGGTATTATGTTCCATTTGTTTTTTATACCTTATTGCTAAATAAAATATAAATATCATTATTTCTAATGAATGTTGTCAACTTATTTTAATTTTAATATCATTATCTGAATATTAATAATTATATTCATTTTACAAATATTTGTTTCTACAACAATTGCTTAATTAATATCACAATTCAATTGAAATAATAATATATTAAACACTTCTACAGCTTCATTACCCCAAGGGTTAATTTGTTATAGTCACATCAACTTAAAAAGTAAAATTCTTAACATTTAATAACATTTACTCTTATTTTAAAACAACAAATATTTAGGATTATAAGAGCCATTGTACACATGGTTCAACCTTTAATAAGAAACACTAGAACTAGTACGATTATAAGAGCCGCCCACTTCATACAGTTTGCTCCAACGTTGTGTCGTGGTTGCCCTTCTTGGATTTGTATTAGTTGGTGAAACTTGGACATCAGTGATTCTAGGTGGGTGACAACCACACAAAGGTGTGTTCAACACTGCTGCGGAAGCAAGGTCATTAATTACTTAAGCGCGCTGTCCACGTCTCATCATCAATTTTGAAAAAACAAATTGGAGAGGTACTGGGAGTAGGTTTGGTAGGGAGTGGAGTGTGTTGTTAAAAAATTTCAATTTATATAAAGATCTTGGTTGATAATATTTGGACACTTGTAAAGGTACTCTACTAGATTGTTGACACTTGTAAAGTATATATATTTTTTTTTACAAGAAAAATGCCATACTTTAAGTTTTGGATGTGAAAACTGAAAAGAAGTACATTAGGACTGACTCTATAGTAGAACACAAGACATGAATTTAGATTATAACTCCACCTTTAACAGACCTTCAACTAGCTTATCTTCTACATTTAATCATCCATTAAAAGAGTTTCAAAAATTACTTCATGTATAATTTGTTATTAATTTTTATAATTAACCCGGGTTTTATGTTAAATGTGAATGGGCTATTTTTTTTGTTAAATGTTTCATTTATTTTACGAGGTCAATTATATTTGGTTATATTTTTTACAACATATTTCATACTTATAAGTACTAGCCTATTTGCTTCAAAAAAAAAAAGTATTAGCCTATCAATTACACTACATGAAAGGACTTTAGACTTGATATTGCACTTCTCAATAAACTTAAAGTTGTGATTTAGACTAGAATTACTATTTTCAATATTTTATTGTGTTGATTTTACAACAAAATGCAAACTTTACTTTTTTAATATAATAACACAACACAAT